ATCACCAAGTCACCGGAGCTTCTTTAATAGACTTGTGTGAGAAGGTGGTTTTACGCTCTATAAATGTGGGTCCAGCCGTTCCGTAATTAAAGTCCTATTTAGAAACACCTTCGTTTTACGAAAGCTTTATGAGCGCTGGCACTGCCTGGCACCTGCTGTAGCAAACCCGAGCTTGTCATGCCCAACCTATACATCCTAACAGCGCTGGGAAGCGCGTGAACCAAGAGATAAAATCCTCGTACGTTCCTCACAAAATATTCCTCAGACTTTCCTACCAAGGCAGAAAACAAATCCATGATGCTGTTGAATAATCTTCCAATAATTGTAGTAATTAAAATCATCACACAGGCTGCAGTCACCTTCCTTCCTTTGACACTCGTCTTCCGCGGGATTGTTAACGTCTCTTTGGCTGAAATAAACAGAACAAGGGAGGTTTAAAATACATGGTCCAAATAAATTTAGCGGAAGACAATTAGTTCCACAAACACTGTTTTGGCTGAGTTCCGTAGACGAGAGGGTCTCTAGAACTACCCTGGGTTTTTTTTAAGCGCCGGTAGGATGGGTGGCCCTGTCGCTCCTGAGCAGTGTCACCTTAAAGACCGAGGAAGAGCTGCAAGCCCGATCTGATGTTCCACCTCGGGGCTCTCCGTGCGGGGGGCAGGAGGAGAGGGGACTCCTGCACTCTGCCACAAACACAATCTGAAAGCTCAAGCAGGGATTGCTGGAGAGTGCCGTAATTTTCATTTAATTCCCATGATCTATTTGATCCCAGTGCTCATTCCCTTTTTATTAACTATAAAAGATTTCCTTCTAATCAAAAGCTGCCCTTCATCTTTATCCACAAATGAAGAACTCTGTAGTGGCAAGAATTCAGCGGGCTCAACAGGCACCAGGGGCTGTATTTTAACGCTATCCTTCCCCCTTTTAATAGCTAGTCTTGGGCGGCATAGTGGGGATGCTTTTCCTTAACTGAAGTTATTAATTTATCACTAGGTCCCCCTCTGCGTTTCTCTGATAATCAGTGGGGGATTCTAGATCACGTAAATGCAAAGTGTAATTGAGAGGGGGGAGGAGAGGGGACTCTTCAGCACGGAAGTCGTGTTGCTTAAAAAAAAATAAAAAACATTAAAAAATAAAAGCTGGTAGGACGCGATTCCTCCCCTCGGCGATGAGCACTTCGCCTGTTTCCTGCCCACCTCCCTTCTGCTTGGCAGCAGCAGAGGCTGCTTCTCTTCAACTTGGAAGGGTTTGCCCCTCTCCCACCCGTAACATCCATGTGTAAAACTCCGTGCCCCTCCTAGGGTTCAGGGGGAATTGTACAGCAACCTCACGTTTAACTGCTGGTAAATCGATTTAGTGGGGAAATACTTGGCAGCTCTGTCCCCGAGCTGCGTTTGAACAGCAGAGCCATTCCATCTGACGCTCTTGAGGATGAACCCAGAGCCTCCCAATCAGCTTTAATGAAGGAATTGTTTCCCAGCTTTACCTCCTAAAGACAGCAACTTTAGTAGTCGCGCAGATCAAAAGACACGCGTGAAGGGAAGATGGGAAACAATATTGTTCAAAGGAAGTGAACTGTTGCATTTAATTAGGCTATTCTTCATTAGCATTCACACGGAGGGTTTATACTATTTTTTAAATAGATTTATGTTGATTTAACCGTAGTGTATTTCTGATGTAAATATATTCCGAGATGAAAACGTCACGGATCAATTGTAAAGGACCCGGATACATAATTTTCAAAAATCAGTTTCAGTTTATATGAGGTTCTCACCCCACTTTCGCTTCTTAGTCAGATTTGTTTATGCAGAATCGACATTTAATAGTGCTAATTGCACTCCAGTTAAATTGCCCTGATTGCAGAAAGGGAAGCAATTTTCGTGCTCTCTGTCTGGGTTTGGAAGAAATTGTTTTATATTCACCTCTTTATAAAGAAGTGGAGATAAGGCACCGAGCCTTTGCACAAATTGCACTTACGGGCTGACTGGCAGCATTCAGGCGCTATAATAGAGCATTATTTGGCCGTTTTGAATAATGTAAAGCGTTTGCTGAAAGCTATTCTCCTGAAAATTGCTTTAACTTTTAAAAGGGTGATGATTCACTCCAAACCAGGCCTTTGTTACATTGTCATTATCCCCCCAAATGTTTTAACAGTCAGCTCAACACTTTAGCATAACACATTGATCTTTGTTTAAAAACTCGATTTTTTGGAGTATGGAAAAAAAAGAAATGTCAGAAAATACTTGACCCCCTAAAGATTTTAGCAAGCCTTCCCCTCCTCGCCGCCATCCGCACAGCCTTTCCCCGCCGCCTGCCTCGCTCTCGCGGATTTCAGCCCCTTTCCCAGTTGGGAAGGGGCGCAGGGATGGCCGGCGGTGAGGCAGAGCCGCCCGCCGCAGGCACAACAGAGACCCGGCTACACCGGGGAAGGACGGCGGGCCGGCAGCGGATGCCTTTACTCGCTGATGTGGAGGCAGCATTTCCGAACGTCACGCTCTCGGTCTCTGCCTCCCAGCCTTATTTTATTGATGACTTTCCCCGAGGAGAGGGGAAAGACTCTCTCCCCCTCGCCGCCCCGGGGCTGGCCAGAAGCGCCTCGCTACCACTTGACGACCACCTCCGCAGGCTCCTGGGAAGGAGCGGGGTTCTCACCAGAGAGAGGAAGGAGGGAAGGAAGGAGGGAAGGAAGAGAGGAGTCACCTGTTGGGCGATTGCTCCCGGGTGCCCCTGTCGGACTCCTCGCCTCTCTCGCGGGGTTTATGTCGCTCCCCCCGCCACCGCCTTAAATCGCCTCCTCCCGTCGAGTGCTCCAGCCCCCCCGGCTAAAGCCGCCGCTCGCCATCCGCGCCAGGCAGAGCTCCCTCCTGGAGGAAGGGCTCGCCATGCACTGCCCGGACCCCTGGCTGGCTGCGAGTCAATGTGGAAAGAATTAAGCTCAGAACAGCGTTTCCTCCTACTGCCCCGACTCTGCTTAATACGCGGCGACAAAAAGGCGAGCGCCCTTTGAAAATAGCTTTAGACGTTTAAATAAAAGCTAATCTCCAGAGACATCCTTTCCTAGCGTGGAAGGCGTCCTGCAGGTCGCATAACACAATGTACAACAAAACGCAATGCCTGCCTTGTTTAAGCACAGGAAAAAAAAAAAAACACAACAAAAAACAAACAAACCAACCAAAACCCCAACAAAACAACATCAAAACAAGAAAAGAGAAATCCCCTCAAATTCACGGCTTCTCTATCTTGCTCCTCAGCGATGCCTATTTTGCATCTGCTAGGAGGTTTTACACTGGATGGCTGAGGCGAGGAGAAGGAAATACTGACTCTAACGCAGAGCGTTGCTTGAACGTATTCGTATTGCTTGGTTCAGAGCTGCACCCAACTGCACGGGGGACGGCAGCAGCGCAGGGAAGAACTCCTATTCCCAGCCTCGCAGGGACGATCGCAACGATGAAAAAAGTTGCACGCCTATTGATCTTCCGCCGACATAGTACGGGCAAGTTCTAGCCAATTACTTAAGAAGCCTCCACTAATTGCGAATCAAAGGGACTAGCTCGCAAGAGATGGAGCCGAGGTTTGGACTGACATGTCGCACATGCAGAGCGCAGGTAAAGCGTGTGTCGCTCACTGGGAGTGGGGAGTGTGCACAGAGCAGAGGCCAGTGCTAGGGAGGCTTGTTCCGCGGCACTGCCCGGAGGGAGCCTGCCTTCTGCCGTGAGCAGCCCTGTTCCACGGAGGTATGTGGGGCTTGAAAACCTGCTGCAGGCTGCCAATTCCACTTCCAAAGTATTTTGCTGGGGACTACGCTGTAAAATAAAATCGTCTCTTAAACGACAGAATGTCATATGCCCCTTGTTCCCCCTACCGCCCAGGTACGAGGGCAAGGGGATGCCTTTGGATTTTTTTCTGGTGCATTATATGACTAAAACCCCCTCCTCGGTTCCTCTAGCGAAGAAACTCGGGAATACGTTGTGCCCGGAATCACGTCTAGTATTTAGCAAAGCAAAACCAAAAAATTAACCCGCTTTCATAGAATGCCATTAGGCGCTGCCAGGCTGCTTGTACCCAGCGCGGTCAGCCGCCCAGTGACGGCCTGCAAAGGGCCTGTTGAGCAGCAGCGCTGCAGGTAGGGCTCGGCAGATGGGGGCACGGCAGGTGGCTGCGGCGCAGCGGGGGATCTCGCACCTCCCGCCGCACACGTTACAGGCGGCGGCGCCAGGCGCGACCCCGGCCCTGCGCCCGACCCCCTGCTCACGACTGCTGCCCTCTGCGGCTCCCCTCGCCCCGGTGCGGGGTGCGGTGCCGGTCCTCGCGGCCTCACTCCGGCGGCTCGGGCCGTCGGGAGTCACAACCCGCCGTTTGTAGTTAATTGCGGCCGCGATCGCCGCAGTCCGGAGCGGAGAGTGGTTGGGGGGGGGGGGGGGAATGGGGGGGTGGAGGGGGTTTACCTCCCCGCGCGCTGACTGGCACGCGCCCCGAGCCCCGGCGCCGGCACCTCCGCCGCAGCCTGATTGGCTGTCGGGCCGCTCCGGGCCGCTCCGCCCGCGCCCTCATTGGGCGAGCGCCGCCGCCAGCGGTACTTCAAAGCGGGCGCTGCCCGCACTTAGGCAGAGTTTAGCCCCGCCGAGCTGGAGTGTCCTCAGCGCCGCCGGGCAGCGCGGGGCGCACACCGAGCGCCGTCCCCCTCCGCCCCGCGCCCCTCTGCCCGGCCCAGCGACGTGCTATGGCTACGTCTATCCTCGGGGTAAGTCGGCTCCGCGCGCTGCCCTCCGGAACAGCCAGCCTACCAAAAACCAACAACCAAACAAAACTGTTGCTGCCGCCGCCGCCGCCGCGCGGCGGCTGCCCCTCGGGCAAAGCGTGCTGGCCCGCGAGCGAGCGGTGATCCCGCCCGCCTCGGGGGATTTCGCTGCGGGTCTCCCATCGAGTCGTTGGGTCTGAAAACTCGCTTGGCCGGAGAGAAAACGGCCCTCCTTTCGTTTGTTATTTTCTTCTTCTTTTTTTCCTTTTTTTTTTTTTTTTTTTTGACCCGAAGCCGCACGCTAAACGTCCAAAAATTTTCCCCACTAGCTAGGTTTCGCGATCGGCGTCGGTCGCAGGGCTCCGCGCCTTGCCCGCTTTCCTGCCGTCTCGGCTTTCCGCCGCTCCTGTACAGGCCCCCAAGGAGACGCCGCATCCTGCTCCCAGGGGGTTTTCGGTTTATCGGTGGCGGGCTGCAGCAGCCCGGTGCTGCGCGGGGCGCCTGTCCCCAGCCGTCCTTTCTTGACACGCGTGTGGCCCGTCCCCGTCGGGATTCGCTTCCGATGTAAACCCCTCGGGCCCCGAAACGGGTCCCCGACGGAAAACGAGTTGCGGCGAGCGGGGCAGGGCCGGAACCTGCCTCCAAAACTTTTCCGCGGTGTCCCTCGTCGTGGTGGGGTTCTGCCCGCGTCCGTGTGGGAGCCCGGCGTGGCGGCAGGGGTGAGGCTGACGGGCCGGCTTTGTCTCTCCCGCAGGAGGAGCCGAGATTTGGAACGACTCCCCTGGCCATGCTGGCCGCCACCTGCAACAAGATCGGCAACACGAGCCCCCTGACTACCCTCCCCGAGTCCAGCGCCTTCGCCAAAGGGGGCTTCCACCCCTGGAAACGCTCCACATCCAGCTGCAACCTGGGCTCCAGCCTCTCGGGCTTCACGGTGGCCACGAGCAGAGGCTCCAGCGGACTGGCCAGTGGCTCGGGCACCGCCAACAGCGCGTTCTGCCTAGCCTCCACCTCGCCCACCTCGTCGGCCTTCAGCAGCGATTACGGCGGCCTCTTCTCCAACTCGGCGGCGGCGGCGGGCGTGTCTCCGCAGGAGCCCGGCGGGCAGTCGGCCTTCATCTCCAAAGTGCACAGCTCGGCAGCCGAGAGCCTCTACCCGCGGGTGGGCATGGCGCACCCCTACGAGTCCTGGTACAAGTCGGGCTTCCATTCCACGCTGTCGGCGGGCGAGGTGGCCAACGGGGCGGCCTCCTCCTGGTGGGACGTGCACACCAACCCGGGCTCCTGGCTGGAGGTGCAGAACCCGGCGGGGGGGCTGCAGAGCTCGCTGCACTCGGGCGCCCCCCAGGCCTCGCTGCACTCCCAGCTGGGCACCTACAACCCCGACTTCAGCTCCCTCACCCACTCCGCCTTCAGCTCCACCGGCCTGGGCTCCACGGCCGCCTCGCACCTACTCTCCACCAGCCAGCATCTGCTCACACAGGAGGGCTTCAAGCCCGTACTGCCCTCCTACACGGACTCCAGCGCGGCAGTGGCGGCGGCCAGCGCCATGATCTCGGGCGCCGCCGCTGCCGCCGCCGGGGGCGGCTCTGCCCGCTCCGCCCGCCGCTACTCGGGCCGCGCAACCTGCGACTGCCCCAACTGCCAGGAGGCCGAGCGGCTGGGGCCAGCCGGGGCCAGCCTGCGGCGGAAGGGGCTGCACAGCTGCCACATCCCCGGCTGCGGGAAGGTCTACGGCAAGACCTCGCACCTGAAGGCGCACCTGCGCTGGCACACGGGCGAGCGGCCCTTCGTCTGCAACTGGCTCTTCTGCGGGAAGCGCTTCACCCGCTCCGACGAGCTGCAGCGGCACCTGCGGACTCACACGGGCGAGAAGCGCTTTGCCTGCCCCGTCTGCAACAAGCGCTTCATGCGCAGCGACCACCTCAGCAAGCACATCAAAACGCACAACGGGGGCGGCGGTGGCAAAAAGGGCAGCGACAGCGACACGGACGCCAGCAACCTGGAGACGCCACGCTCCGAGTCCCCCGACCTCATCCTGCACGACGGGGTGGGCGCCGCCGCCCGCGGACCGGGCAAGGAACCTACCGCGGGGCCCGGCGACTCCTAGGGGCAGCGCCACCTGGCCCTGGCCCCGGTCCCTGTTCGGGAGCCCCTGAGGAGCCGCCCGGACTCTGCCCCGCGCCGGCCGGAGGGACGCGAGCCGCCCCTCGCCGCGGACGGTGCCCAGGGCCGCAGCGGAGCGGACGGCGGGGCCGGAGAGGGGCGGCCCTTCTCCCCCGTCCCGCCTGGCCAATAGGTTCCAAGTGACACTTTCTTCCGTTCTCCTTTTCTCCTTCTGTTGGAAGGAAAGCATCCTGAGAGAGGCTTAAGGTGAGAAATCAAACTGCAAATCCGAGACGGCTCCTCTGTATCGCATAAACATCTGTATAAATAGGGTTAAAAAAAAGAAGAAAAAAAAAAGATCGTGTTCGCTTATTTTTCTTGTAAATGTTGATCTGAAAGGGGTTGGGGAGGGGTTTCTTTTTTTTTTTTTCTTGATTATTGGTGAATTCCTGAAATTCAGGGAGGTTTTGGGGGTTTTGGTTCCTTTTTTTTTTTTTAATTATTATTTTAAATTTCTGATGCACTTTGTGGAAGTCAGTATATATGTAAAAGATATTTAAAATGTTGAGTTAACATTTCACTCAAACACACGTAAGTTAAGGTCTCTTAAAGAAATTTAAATGCGTTTATCTGTATGGCAAAAAAAAATCTTGACATATTTTCATTTTGGTATTATTAAAGGACTCTGAACCATAGACTCATGGGTTTTGTTGTTCTTTGTGTCCCCTCCTCCTGCATAGCCCTCGCCGGGGTCTGGTTTTTAGGGGGGACTCCTTTGCAGAACTCCCTCCCTGTCCCCCTTCTAGTGACCGGGATTAACAACCGGCGGGTGCAGAGAGCCGGGAGTGGACGGAGCTGGCCGCCGAGCCAGCCTGCTCCGTGTCTCTTTTCAAACCGCCCCAGTTTTCGTTTTATGTTGGGGTTTGGTTGGTTTGTGGGTTTTTAAACGAATTTGAAGTACACCGCTCTCTGCCAGCCGGACCCAGGCCGAGCCCTCAGCGCCTTTAGCAGAAACCGGCCCCAAAACCCGAACTGTGCCGGGGAGCTATTTATTTAATTTAGAAAAAGCCTTCAACGCCACAAGGCTGTCGGGGCTGGGAGGTGGTCTCGGGGGAATAAATCGCCAGAGTCAATACTCCGGAAAAGACATTTCATGCCTAAATGAAAATCTTGTTAAATGTTATTAATTTTGACTTAGAGCACACAGCAGCCCCCTGTGCCTTGTATTCCCTTATTAGGGATTCATGTCTTATCAAATATCTAATTAATCTCCTAGACATCATTTGTTCTGGCCAACTTTATCTCAGCTGGTCCACGGGGAAAACTCCGAATATTCTCGGTGACAAAGCTCCCTTGAAGATCCTTTTAATTGTCCAAATTAACTGCACCAAATTTGCATGTCAAACGGTAAAGGGCAACCTGAGATAAAATGTAAACGTTTTAAAAGCCCCAAACTAAGCACTTGATTTGATAACTAGGCTTTTTAATGTTATGGAAGACAACTGCTCCTTTCCTTTTCAAAGACAGTTGATCTATGCAAATAGTGAATTGGAAATGCTTATGTCCCCATGCAGTCAAATGGTCCTTGCATGTTATTTGAATATCAGTGGCTCTGCTATTGAAAAGGTTCAAGGATGCTCTCTGACTTCTTTGTGATTACTCAGTGCAGCGTCTTATTCTGAAGAAAAAAACCTCGGGAATAATTAAAGGCTGGGCTAAGGCCTGGGAACACATTTGGGACAGGAATCTCATTTAGACAGGCTCTTTCAAAATAAGGCACAGTTAAATTGACCAGAAGGCAATTATTGAAATGAAAATTATTTTCACTCCCTTTGTCTCCTGACCACCAACCTAACAGCCACAGTATTTTTTTAAAGGCAAATTGTTAAATGAGATAATTGTGTTATTAAAAAAATATATATATAAAGAGAGGGGAAGGAAACAAAAAGTTAATTTCATCTGCGCGGTACAGATTGGAGGAACATAAATATTTTAATCCTCCATAAAACCGGGAATGCAAATAACATCGGGAAACGGATTCTGCTGTCGGCCACCAACTGCAATAAAGACGTTGCGTTAAAGAAAAATACATCTGCCGTGAATACTAATAACCGCGTCCCACCTCTGCCTCACAAAAGCGGCCAGGCAGGGCCGGAGCCGCCTCTGCCCGGGGCGGCGGGACGGGGAGCAGGACCCCGCGGGCCGTTCCGCGGGTAGCCTCCCGGGAGAGGCACCTCGCTGCCAGCAGTACCCTCCCCGAGATAGAGCCGCGCCGGAATTCTTCCGGCCTAAAGCACCCCGGCAAGGTCCCGCCGGCTGCAGGGTGCGGGGAGGGGAGCGGGTGAAGAGACGTGCTGGGGCACGTAAACCACCGTCGGGGCATGGCTGCGCTCCCGCCCTCCCCTTCCCTCCCCGTCGGGCGCTGCCGGGGTTGCGGAGGAATGCACTGCGCGGGGTGCGGGGCAGAAGTCAGCTTTGTTTTCGATTTATAATAAAACACATCAAAGGACACCATCCAGGTCCAGTTTCTGCCAGGCCGGGGTTACAATTCTCAGCTCAATGATCAAGGACCTCTTTGCATTGCCTTTGCCCCTTCGGGTCAGAAAACGTCCATCACTTACAGACTCCCCAGAAACGAAGAAGGGAGCAGCTCTGGGCCGCAGAGCCGGTTCGTTTAACCAGGAAAATAGAAAGCATGTCACCTTTTTAAAAATAAATGACACCATTCTTTCGTACATGTTGGCGATAATTATATGGTCTGGGGAACTTCTACACAAAGAAAAACTAAAGAACAGGCGGTGTGAGAATCGGGGAGAAAATCTAATTTCACTCTTTGAATCCATAGTTCAGCAACGGGGAGACGCCAACCCGAGAGCAGAGGAACACCGGGAACGAGAGGTATGCCCTCCCGGGCGCCGGCTAGGAGAGAAGCAGAGGGCAGAGCCAGGCTCCCCACACCTCTGCCCCGCTCGCTGAGCAAAGGCGAGCCAGGGCGGATTCCACTCACATCTCGCCCCAGCTACAGCGTCCCGCACCCACACCTCGCGGGCAGCAGCTTCACCCCTTCCACTCTAGCCCCTCAAAACGCAGCTAAAACCCGGCCAGCGACGGCAACACCAACCGACGGGAAAAGAGAAAACGCCCGGGGAAGTCACTTAGCAAACGCTGTCCGACCAGCAAGTCCCTGTTTGCAGGAAGCGTGTCCCCTGCCCCCCGCCGCGACTCTCAGCCCCGACGGCTCGTTTTACACTTAAAAGGTAACATTAATGGTTTTGTTCTAATGAGATAATATATAAACACCCGATCTCGTGCCCGGACAGTTTCTTAATTGCGTCTTTCAGCTCACATGGAAACTTTATCTGCGGGAGCTGTAATTTATTCGCAGCCATTATCTGCTCGCCGGGGCCCTCTCCCACCCCTCCGACACGCAGATGAAGGGAATCCAAAGGGAAGCCCGCCCCTTCGGGTAATTGGTGCGCTAAGTGTTTATTTTAAGTGAGAATAATTTCGCTACAAATTCTCCTCAAGGAATAACATTCTTAACACATTAGAAACGACAAGACCCCCCCACCCCGCAACCCGCGAGTCGCGATCGCTCCCGGCCGTGCCCCAGCGCAGGCCGCACGGCGGCTGCTGGGCGCCACCTAGCGGCCCGTGCCGCCCCGAGCTCCGGGCGCTGGGCTCGGGGGCGCGGCCGGGCCCTGGGCCGAGCCGGGCCACAGGGAGAACCGGCGGCGGGAACGCGGGGGGGACCTCGGCGGGTGGAGAGAAGGGAGCGCCGGAGCCGGACCCCCGTGAACGGGAGGGGGGAAAGCAAGGACATCACCGCATGAAGTCCTGTGGGGGACGGCGGGGGGGGCCTGCGGCGGCACGGACCCACCTGAGGGGAGGCAGCGCGTTGGGCTCTGCTCGGCAGCTCCTCCGGGGCCGTCCTCGGGCGGGCGCAGCGCGATGAGAGGCAGCGCCCCGCCGCGGGGAGAGGGGTCACTGCTCCCCGTCCACCGCGCGGCCCCGCGGGCCTGACCCGCGGCCGCGGCCCACTCTGGAGGGCCGGGGCTTCCCGCCCGGCGGTGACCCGGCGGCGGTGCCTCGCCTTCTTGGCGCTGTTTTAACACAGACCTGTGGCAGCGCCTGTTCCCGAGATGCGGTAATTGCTACTTGGGTGGCAGGGCGCGGAGTCCTTGTCCGTTCCTTAGTACAAAGTAGGTTGCTAGAAAATTTGAAATTGCCTTTCAGCCTAAAGCTGCCTTACCTGAATGTCATAATTACAGTAATTATGTACATCCAAATTACATGCTAATTAAATTAGAATCAAATCGCTCTAAATCGAAATCAAATGAGGTAGTGAGAATTAATCAATGACAACATAAATAAAGAGCTTCCTTCAGGGATATTTATTGTAACGATCCACGCAGGAACCCGATCTGGAATCACCTGTTTATTTACTGCCGGAACAGTAATGACTCGCGGCTCAACGCTAATTGGAAACGATCGGTTCCGCGGGGCAGTAGAGCTGAAGGGCGGCTCGGGCACCCCAGGCCCTAGGACGGATGCCCGCGGCCGCCCGCCCCCCAGCTGAAACCGCGAGGGCCGCTCCACCTATCTGGCCCTGTCCCCTCAGCGCTGCCCGCTAGCCCCCAGGGAGCCGTCGGCCCGCCCTCAGCCCCAGCTGCTCCCGCTCCGACCGAGGGGAGCCCCGGGGCAGGGTTGCGCCGCCGGGCCCGGGCCCTTCCCGCCGAGATGAGGGAGCCGCCTCACGGCGCCGCGGGCCCCGGCCTGGACAGAGGATTAACCCCATCTCGAGGCTTTGGAGACAGAAATTAGTAATAAAGAAACGGTTTTACCTTCATCTGTGAACCGACAGCACCTCCTACCGGGCCCCGCTGGCGCTGCCGAGCAGCCGGACGCGGCCGTCGAGCGTCCCGCGGCGGAATACCCGGCTGGGCCGGGGCGGGGCGGGGTACGGGGCGGGCCCAGCGCCGTGAGGGCCCGCACTGGGAACATCGTCCCACGACCCCACCCCTTCTGCTTTTAAGGCACCCAAGGGTGGTGAAGGAGCCCCGTCCTCCCACAGCCGGCTCGCTCCTCATACCGGTGCAGTGGCACAGGCTGGCCTGGGGAACGCAACGAGCGCC